CGTCAGACATGCACACGCTCAAGTCAGCTGCTTTTAATCCGACTCTTTTGGGGGCCCGTAATCAGCCCACGCAGATCATGCCGGAGACGGAACCCCCACTCTGAGTCTCCCACTGCACGGACCACAGCTCGTCCTCCCAGGTCATCCCTTCACCCCCCTCATATCATTCACATGTTACTTCAATAAACTTACAAACATCACACTGTTGTGGCGTGGTTCCCGTTATCCCGACTTTTTTGTTTTTGAGAAAGTTACCGGTGCGCCAAGTAGAAGTGGAGCACACAGGAGACAACCATTTCATTGCAGACTGTTGTGTTTATGTGGGGAAATGACAGTGCATACATTATTTGAGATATATTTCGAACTCAGACTTAATTTTATGGACATTTCGGCCAGGGGTGTAGAGCTATTTGTTTAGGCATCGGATTGGCAAAACAGGAGAGTCTGTAAACCAGTCTGCTTTGATCTATGAATTATTGTCCGTGACTCTCAGAGAACCTGCTGTTTTAAAGGGAAACAAACACTCAGAACACACACACACAGAGCCAGTGGCAGACTGGCCATCGGGACGAATCCCGATGGGCCGGTACGGAAGTGGGCCGGTCAGGCGACTCGGCCCACTCCGATCGGGCCACTAGGTCCACCGTTTCCCCGCAGCGAGGCTCCCCCCGTTGACAGTTTGGGCTGGGCTGGGTGAGATTCCCGGGCTGATTTTTAGTCCCAGTCCGCCCCTGCACAGAGCGGAGCTGAGCAGATCACACATACATATCACGTGTGTGTGTGTGTGTGTGTGTGTGTGTGTGTGTGTGTGTGTGTGTGTGTGTGTGTGTGTGTGTGTGTGTGTGTGTGTGTGTGTGTGTGTGTGTGTGTGTGTGGAGTAAACACAGTGTAGGCGGTGTGTAAAAGCTCTTTGAGCGCTGGTGCTGCTCTTCTCTGAGTTGCACGTCCCGCTGTCTCCTGGAGTGACCACGCACGCCTGGCCAAAATGTCCTTAAAATGAAGTCTGAGTACGAAATATATCTCAAATAATGTATGCACTGTCATTTCCCCACGTAAACATAACAGTCTGCAATGAAACGGTTGTCTCCTGTGCGCTCCACTTCCTCCTTGGCGCACCGGTAACTTTCTCAAAAAAAGAAATAGATACTGAGCACGAGAAACTTTCTGGTGCGCACGAGATACTAACCCGTTATCCCGACTTTTTTTTTTCTGTTTTTTTTTTCTTTTTTTCCCATGTCCCTTTAGGGGCTCCGTAGATTTCCATGACATTAGCACGGACTATTCATGTTCCCAAAGGATAACTCCTGTGTTTTGAATGGTTTCATTGACCTTTCCTCCTGTCCCATTAAAAAAGTCCAATATCCATTAGTGGTATTTCCAGAGCTGAATCATGCTCCTTAGCAGGCACATGCACACTAAAGCCCCAGCCACACGAGGACGATAACGGTCGTATCTACTACAGTTCTCTATCAGATAGACGGTTCGGCCACACGAGGCCGACACGGAAACGCAGAAAACGATTACGGATCCCTAGGTGGGTAGATCTGCAAACGAAACGCTCTGGGGGGGCAAACGGCTCCGTGTTTACGCCTATACGATCATTTCCTGATAACGTTGAAGCAATAGCCCCGCCTCTCCCACCTCTCCTGCTCAGAGATCAGCTGCTGGGCTGTCAGAAGAGGGGAGGAAAAGAGAGGCTCCGTTTTTATTATTATATGATTATATAGAGTCGTTATTCATTTGTTTTAAAGCTCAATAAATAACAAAGAAGACTTCTGACCGGCACTTTTCTAATTTTGTCCGGAAGATTTAAACTTTAATGGACATGTTGACCGGCGAAAGAAAATCTAACTGAAACTCTGCCGCACGGTCCCCTCGTCCCTTGGAAGAGGCGGAGAGGTGGGTGTTTTTCATCTGCTGGTGGACTACCGGAGAGATTTACAGCAGGAGCAAACGCTTGCCTCGGGGAGGGAGAAAAAGAGCCAGAGCATCCACAGCGGAGAATAAACAGAAGGGCAACCATGGCAACCATGCGCGGGAAGTCTTCTTCGCTGATTTTGTGGTAGGGGTACAGCGCCACTTACAGGCCTGGCATATGTACTACAGCGTCTCCAGCGCTTTTGAGCGGTCTCGTGTGAACGGACACGTTTCTGATGCCTGTTGCGTGTGGACGGAAGACTTTTTTAATAACGATTGCGGTCCGTTTGCGTTATCGTCCTCGTGTGGCTGCAGCCATAGACATCAAAGTGGGCTTAGCCTTGAGCCCCTACCCTTTTTCTTACTCCAGAGACAGTGCCCTTTTTTTTTTTTTAAATATATGAATATCTATCTACTGCTGTTTGCGCACAGTTTCCCTTTCCAAAAATATATTGACTGAATACAAAATGAAAATATCAGGTCAGGAGATTAGACTGTGAAGTTCCGATGCTCTCTCTACCCTCCCTCCCTCCACGTCTCGCAGACAGCGGTGCAGACCTCGGCAGTCACTTCAGACCGACAGGTAGCAGCACCTCCCACTTTACAGTCACTTCAGACAGACAGGTAGCAGCACCTCCCACTTTACAGTCACTTGACAGACAGGTAGCAGCACCTCCCACTTTACAGTCACTTCAGACAGACAGGTAGCAGCACCTCCCACTTTACAGTCACTTGACAGACAGGTAGCAGCACCTCCCACTTTACAGTCACTTGACAGACAGGTAGCAGCACCTCCCACTTTACAGTCACTTCAGACAGACAGGTAGCAGCACCTCCCACTTTACAGTCACTTCAGACCGACAGGTAGCAGCACCTCCCACCTTACTTGACAGACAGGTAGCAGCACCTCCCACCTTACAGTCACTTCAGACCTACAGGTAGCAGCACCTCCCACCTTACAGTCACTTCAGACCGACAGGTAGCAGCACCTCCCACCTTACAGTCACTTGACAGACAGGTAGCAGCACCTCCCACCTTTCAGTCACTTCAGACCGACAGGTAGCAGCACCTCCCACCTTACAGTCACTTCAGACCGACAGGTAGCAGCACCTCCCACCTTACAGTCACTTCAGACCGACAGGTAGCAGCACCTCCCACCTTACAGTCACTTGACAGACAGGTAGCAGCACCTCCCACCTTTCAGTCACTTCAGACCGACAGGTAGCAGCACCTCCCACCTTACAGTCACTTGCCAGACAGGTAGCAGCACCTCCCACTTTACAGTCACTTCAGACAGACAGGTAGCAGCACCTCCCACCTTACAGTCACTTGCCAGACAGGTAGCAGCACCTCCCACCTTACAATCACTTCAGACAGACAGGTAGAAGCACCTCCCACCTTACAATCACTTCAGACAGACAGGTAGAAGCACCTCCCACCTTACAATCACTTCAGACAGACAGGTAGAAGCAGCTCCCACCTTACAGTCACTTGACAGACAGGTAGCAGCACCTCCCACCTTACAATCACTTCAGACAGACAGGTAGCAGCACCTCCCACCTTACAGTCACTTGACAGACAGGTAGCAGCACCTCCCACTTTACAGTTCCATGTTATGCCGGCTTTTCGTGGCTTGTTTGAAGGTGAGTGGTGATGAACAAATGACTAAGCTGCCAATGCCTCGAGTTTACAGCTAATTAGCTAAAAGACAAAAACAAATAGAGTTAACTAAGGTAGGCTACTAGCTAATGGATAAGTTAGCTGAAGGTATAGCTAAGGCAATTTATCATGGGCATACAGGCTAATGTAGCCTACTGTACTTAAGGGGAGACACTACAGGTGAATACAGTCAAATGTGTATATAATAACGTCATAACAATCGCCACATTGATATGAAAATCAGGCGTTAACTAGTACACTAGTAATAAAGTACTATTTTATCTCTTATCTTATCTTGATTACAATGTGCTCATTTGCATGCAGTTACCAAGGCATTGCAGGTGAAAAGGATAAAACAAAAACAAAAAAATGTCACCTCACAACTTCCCCAGATAGTTACTTACGTCAAGTCAGTATTTTCCCCTGAAATGTTGTGTTTAAATGCAGATTAGCTTTAAATCTATAGATAACTTCATAATTTTGATTGTTGGCTACTAATTTAATAACTATTAATTTGACTAGTTTGTTGTCTGCTCTTGTGAGTAGTGAATATAGAAGACCATTGTCTCTGTGTTAACTATATTTAACTTTTTGTTTTACATTTTTTTTTATATAAATGATTATGGGAAGTGCCCTTTTTCTCACTTGAGCTCCCACCCCCCAAAATGTCTGTGCACGTCTCTGCTCCTTAGAGCCTAATTATTTTAGATTCTCAAGAAATGTGTCATTTTCTGAACATGATAATGCAGTAAGGGGAACCCCACTAGACTGTAATGATCACAGGGCTTGTGATAAGGTCCTCTTTTTAAAGAGTATTTTAAAGAGGGCATTTCAGCAAAGATTAACTATGATCTGAATGGACGATGTTTTTTTATTTACCAGGTTGTGAAGGATTTTGAATGTACCTATTACTCACTTCAGAAATCATTTTATCTTTCATTACTTTAACTCATTGACTTCTCATTATAAGTGAAGAGAAGGCGGTGCAGACAGAGGAAAGAGTCCTGGGACAAACAGACAAACACATCGCACACACATTACTCAGCATGGAGTGACGCCAGTAATTAACCTATAATCACGGTGTGACACGACACTATAGCGCTCAAACAGCTGATACTTTAAAAGACAGGACACACACACACACACACACAATGTGATGTGTTACTGACCACTTCAAGGTCCTGTCTCTGTCACATGTCACTGTAACAAAGCCCTGTGATGTTGACATGCTTGGTGTTCAACACCACATTTACTGACCATCACTGACTCTGTAAAGTTTTACACAGAACACATGCCTCTCTCAACCTTATAAGGCCATAGTTCAGGTCTAACGGGTTCGATAAACTGTGCTGAGCTGGACTGAAGAGGAGTTTTGTTGTCTTGTGTATTACAGTGGTTGTAATCTCATCATAAACTAACCTTACCTTTGAGAAGGCCTTTCCACCTTTGAGCTCCTGGAGAGAGAAAAAAACAAAGCAGTCAGTGAAACAGTCTGCAGTATGTCAGACTGCGATCACCATCTCCACAGTCCTTCTCATAAACGCATTACAGCACATCACATGGACCCTAACTGAATGCATTTATGACATTTTCAGGGTTCCAAATGGCCGTTTTAACCGGAAAATGTTCATAGTTGTACTCTGTGTGTGCTGATTTTAATGAATTTTGAATAGATTTTTGAAGTTTAAGGGGCCTCTGGATCATTTGGATTCTGGACAAATTGCTTAATCATTTGAAAAATAATTGTCCACAGTAGATGAAATAATTTGCATCTTGTGCTCTCTATATCCAATGGTCACAACACTGCTCATATTAGTGAAATCAGGTTAAAACTGCCTTTTTCATCCTGGAATTGTTAAATTCTCTATTATTCCAGAAATGGATTCAGCATAACCTCAGAAACCACTCCAAAATTGTCATGAGTACTAATTACGGCAAATGATGCTAATTGTGCAAATTGCCCAACATGATGTGAGGTAGTATCAGGCAGTTGTAATTACTGGGGGCCGTACTATACATGCACAGGTGGCTGCTGGGAATTACCTTACGTACAGAGACCCGGCAGATGCAGGGGTCCAACACTCCAGTGATTGGATTAGCACCCATCTTACACACGAAAGAGAACTTTCTCCTCCATCGAACACAGTTCTGCTGCACCTCCTCTCTATATACACACACACACACACACACACACACACACACACACACACACACACACACACACACACACACACACACACACACACACACACACACACACACACACACACACACACACATCAGCTATGCTCACATATTTGAAAAACAAACCAATTTCGAGTAAGTCCACATGTATCTGGGTGACCACAGATAGCTTGACTTCGCTTCTGACAAGGGAATCCACCACTGTTGCATTTTATTAGTTATCTACAACTCCCAAAAGTAGTCATGTAATGCATTGAGCTGCAATGTGATTGGACTAAACCCTCAGCAGGCTCCTCGTAGCGAGAGGCACTCTTTAAAAACTTTAAAATGTGTTTATTTACAGGCCATAATGATGACAATGATTATGCAAATAGCTGTATTTCAAACAGCAAGCAGGGCATGGCCCCCTTTGGTCGTTTGAAAACTGCTTCACATATTTAAAGTCCCTCTGTTTTCAGTTCTTTTGTAGCTTGTTGTTTCCAGTTGAGTTACTTCCTCACTAAGTTTAAAGAGCATTGTTTCAAGAGATGTATTGTATTTTAATGTCATTGAACATTTACAAATGATATAACTACACATTGTGATGATAGTCCAGATGATGTCACCTAGGAGTGTTGAGGGGTTTTCCAATGATTGCAAACAGATGCAGTCTCTGTGTCTAACACTCAGCAATAAAATGATTTATGCAGTGTTCATGTGATCATTTTTAAATCTTGGCCAAGTGGTGACCAAAGCAGGGGAATACAAATAGAGAAAGAGACCACAAAGTAGCAGCTAAGACTGCTATAGCTGGAGAACTAAGACAGAGAACCTTCATCCCTACATTCGTGGAATTTGGGGTGGGGAGTGAAGCCTGATGGGATTGATCCAGTGTGTCCCTTCCTTAGTCTGAAAACAGGCTTTTCTCACTAAACTAATTAAACAAGACTAAGCTAGTCGGGAACTCAAACTAAAGCTGTGAATAGGGTTTACTAAGCTATCTACACTTTTCTCTCAACACACACAAACACACTCGGCGTGCTCGGCTTGTCCTGACTTGTGAACTCTGATGTTACAGTATCTGTCCCGCACATGTCAGAAGGTCCACATGGGAATCGTCCAGTTCCATGATCAGCTCTGCAGTTACACAACACACACGACTCAGCTGCTGTTTGCTGATGACTCAGTCCCACAGGCGTGTTCTTGGGATGTGATGTCAAACAGCGTGGAAATCTGCCTACCAGCATGGTTACTGCTGACCAGTATTATCAGGATGGGCAGCATGTATTTATATAAGTGCACAGCCATATGAAATACACAATTATGCACCAAACCATGTTGTTTTAACTATACCTGAACAAACACAAAAACAGCAGTAATCACAATTTAACAAACACGAAAAATGTTATCTAATCTTGATCTGGATTTCATCATATGCCAGAAGAAAAAATCAGAAACAGACATTACTCTTTAGTTATTATACCCTCCTGTTGTACCTTCTTATTATTTACAAAGGGTCAGTCCTCTCTAGACTAGAAATCAATTCATGTATCTGGATTCCCTCAGTCCTATATTAAATAATTCATATTGTGCCCACAATATATATACAGTAGTATATATAGCTGCATGTTAGGCCCTTCCTGTCCCCCTTGTTCTTATCCTATTCATTCTTAAACGTTTCGACAGCAATATGTGTGAACATTTAATATTAATCTAAAAATAATCTACAGGGAAATTAGTTTGGCAACATCTGTTGAGGTTGCAACAATCTAGGTATTATATTTATTTCATGAACACTTATGGTGCCAACAGGTAGGGTTCCCACAAGTCTATACTGTGCAATATGATTGGTTTAAAACGAGGTACCAATGCTTATCCTTCAGTGGCTGGTGAATACAGAAAGCAGCTGGGTGGAGCAGAGCCTGCCAAATAGCTTCTGTTTCTATAATGTCACCTTAAAACCCTATGTCTCTAAATTGTTTTAACCTTCAAACTGAAATAAAAAGGTGTTATCTTGACCCAGTGCAGCAGGAAAGTGTCAGCATACATTTGTGTGCTGTGCTTCTTATCACTAATGTAGTTCTACTGAGTTGTGCTAAGGGCTCATTAACCGATGCAAACAGAAGGGTATCCTTGATACTGTAGGTGTAACTCTCAAATGGAAAGCATTCAACCCAATCAAATGTTTTGAGTCCAGAGAAACTACTGAACCTGTACATCATGATCCCTACAATGTTTCACATTCATTGTATAGACTGTGGGGGCATGCCTTAATATAATCTGCCCCAAATGTATTAAAAATGTATTATTATCTACGTGGTCTGTATAGGCCCAGATATATGATATACAGCAAAGAAAGATTGGTGCGTAATTATTTTCAGACTGTGGGTTAACGTGAGTTTATTTACAGTGAGTCTATGTGTGAGTGTTTGCATGTGTGTGTGAGAAAGTGTCTTGATAGGTATAACCTCTTAATTTTGCTTTAAAGGGCCACACATTGAAGCGTTAAAGGTCACATGTCATGCTTTTCCGGTTATTACCCGTCCCCTTGTGTGTTATGAAGGTTTTTATGCATGTAAACGGTGTGCAGAGTCAAAACCCTCAAAGTACACCCTGTAGCGAGTAAAACTCTAACACAGAAAATACCTCCCCAAAACGCCTCGTTGGTGAAACGTCATCATCCATTTGATTCTTCCGGGGACATCTGATGTCATGTCGTACCCGGAACGAAATGGACCAATCCGTGGAGCCGTTACGTTACGCCCGCGGAGCCGTTACGTTAAGCCCCCGCTGATTGGTCCAAATTGACCAATCCACGGACTTCCTCACACACTCAGTGCATGCAGCTCAGCTGATCTCTCCTCCCTGGCTGATAACAGACAGTTGGGATCGCGGCGAAATTCTCTCTGCAGACCCATTCTCTCTGCAGACCCATTCTCACAGCGTTTATCAACCTTTTTCTTACTCAATATCAAGCCACACTTATTGTTTTTACTTGGGCTGTGACTTTGTGTGTGCTCAGGGTGAGTTTGGCTGTGTTTCGCTGTGTATCGCTAAACAAGGAAATCACACCTCCACGGAGCTTAGCGCGATTCACAACGTCCCGACTGGTCCCGACCAATCGGAGCACACTGGGCTCACAGGGAGGGCGGGGCAAGAGCTGCAACGAGCTGTTTAGTGGCGAGAGTGAATACACGTAGTTTACAGAGATGCTGTATGCGAAACAATATGAGTTTGGAAAATTGCACAGTATAAATCTATTCTAGTAGACCTCAACAATGGAATTATGATCAGTGGAAATGGCCATGACATGTGACCTTTAAAGTATTTTTTAAAGCATTTTCTTATCCTATGGGAAACACTGGAACGCTGCATTATGTTCATAAGATTCCTGATGTTTCTCTACTTTCAATACATTTTGTTTCACAGATACATGTCTGAGCAATGTATAACCAAAGGACTGTGTTTCATGCTTTTTGAAACACAAGACAATAAATACTTCAAAAGAACTTAAAGTGGACCTATCATGCTATATTTGAACAATATATTGTAGGGCCATACCTATATAAAGTATATAAATATAGTTTTTTTTTCAAAATACCGAACAGATCCTGCATTTTAGCCATGCCTCATTTCGCTCTATTTACTCTTTCCAGCCCTGTTTTTGCAGGGGCTGATTCTGTGACGTAGCTTTAATGCAAATGAGCTGCAGCTGACCACGCCCCCCTGCAGGAGAGGGGAGCGTGCTCTGATCAGCTGCTGGGCTGTCAGAAGAGGGGGAGAAAAAGAGATCTCCGTCCAGGCCCGGCTCCAGGATGAAATGACTGAGGGGGCTGTTAAAAAATCCGAGGGGGCAATTTTGTTTTTCTCACAACAACGAAAAATGCTGGCAATGTAATGAATTGACACACCAAGCTTTTTTCCTTCTCACTGCTCTAAAATATCTTTGCTTCTTTATATTTATTCCGGATTTACCCCTCTCATTCTGTTCTTTTCCTCTGATCTTTAATAACAGATAGTACATTATTAGATGGCTGCACTTTGGTTAACAGACTAAAACCATAACCTTTTCTCCTCTACCCCTTAACTCGTCTTCCTGATGTTACTTACTTACTATCTATCTAGAAAAATGTATCTGGTTGATTTTTTATTTCCAGGATTGAATGTTCAGACCAAGGCCTAAAACCTGGCATTTCATAAGAAAGTGACTAATATATAAACCAAATGTAATATTGGATAAAACACTACACCAAATGGACGGACACAGATTAAAAGTAAAGTCCCCTGGTTTGTCTCTAGATTCTAACTGCCATGAGAAAAATCAGATCAATGTTCCACAATCCACTACTAGATGTCGCTCATTGCACCAATACGGTTTATATAATACAGATTACCACAACAGAGCTGTGCAAATGAATTTCCCCCTGGGGACAATACATCTAAACTAATGTAATATTCAATCCCATACTTGGCGATTGAGAAAATACATTTGTAATTTACCTCGTTTAAAGCACTTTTGTTGTTATACTATGGATTTAAGTTGACACTACAGCCGAGTTTTTTTTGTCCAATATCTCACGGGCATGTACATAGAAAAGAAGAAGAAGAAAAGAAGAAGAAGAAGAAGAAGAAGAAGAAGAAAAGAAAAGAAGAAGAAGAAGAAGAAGAGAGAAGAAGCATAAGCACGTACGAGAAACGAATCAAGCAACCGAATAAGAAGAAGAAGAATAATAAGAGATCACGAAGAAGAAGCATACCGAAGAAGAATAAGAGATAATAAGACCGAAGACGAACAGAAAGCAGCAGAAGAAGAAGAAAAATACGCTAAGCGCTCACAAAAGGCACAACACTGTGGCCCTTTCCTCATTTCTCTAACTCTCCTCCTCGACTCCTATTCCTCCAATACCTTAAGTCCCCAGCCCACAGGAGAGTACGAGCGGAGGAGGCGCCGAGGAGGGGACACCGAGGAAGAGAGGAGGGGAGGGAAGCAGCAGGCTGTTA